CCTCTGTTACCAATTAGTGATGCAAATAAACTACCTCCGACCGCGTGGTGTTTCTTTCCAGACTACACAAATCCTTTATATTGGAATCCCAACCTGCTGTATTGACTTGTCACCACATGTGAAATATAAAAGAAATAATGGCAATGGGTTCTGAACAGTTTTACTGTGTTCCACACTTTCTACATTCTGAGTGGTGCAAGCAAAATTTGTCTGGTGCAGGTATGCAGAAAAAGCATTTCAAGCCCTGATCTACTTCCTGCTATCAGCTTGACATTTTACCAAATGTTGTTTAGCTCCTACAAGTTCCAGCAGACTTAAACTGTATTATACTTTCATATCCTTCTTTTAAGTCTGACTCTTTCAATTTGTCTATTTCTTTGCAAAAGTGAAACAGAGAAAATGTTCTTCCTCAATGAAGATAGTCCGATGTACCATCATGTTTCTTTTAATCAATTTGCTCAATTAACAAAGAGATCAGAGTAGGATTATTGCATTACTAATAGCTATGAAATGATATATATGGAATAAAGTATACCAAACAAACACCTTGCAGGCTGCTCCATCAATTCTTTACTTCTTTCTTTCAATTCAGAACATACAAGTCTCTATGTACTAAAACTCGCTTGAAAGTTTATCTGGGTTGGTACTTACATGATAAAAATTAAAATTGTACCAACACAAAACAACTCCCTCATTATTCATGGCCATATAACGTCCAATTAAATTTAAACCCAGCTGTCATGTTTTAACAATGAACACAAGCGATAACATAAAAAAGAACCCTAACAACACCAACCTCGTTCATGGCGGGAAGATGTCTATTGCTTGTTATCATATGAATCTGGGCGACCAGGTGTTGGCGGGTAAATTGATTAACTAGCAGCATGTTGGCATGTTTAACAGACATTCACTGTAATCCAACATGGCGCATGTGAAAAGCCTGCATAGTAAAATTGGCTAAATCCCTGGTCTAATAATCTAGCCTGACTAAAAAATCGCGCTCCTTGTGGCCACTGGCCCAGAGGTTTGCCGCCCCCTTGGGGAAACAGTTGCAGACTGACTAGTCTAAACACAGGCTACATAAAATCAACAACACGACAATCTAAATAGATAATAATAAGTCTGCTTTCACAACAATATCTTTCATTTACTACATTATTCATTTGACAGGGTTTCGCAGTAGGTGCAAACCACAATTCCAAAAGATACTCGCCACCATTATGCACAACAGCCACCTAATATCTGCTTAGAGAACCTCTGCTACCAGACAACCGCCTAAACCTACGGCCTATTCCAAAGGATTGTAAAAGTAGGGATGTTTCTAAAATATGCATTTACTTCAATATCAAAACTGCTACGGTAAAAATAAAAAGACGTGCATCATCACGGACATACCGGCACACCACATGCTCAATTACACAGAAATCCTACGTACGGAAGAATGCGTTTTGGCTGCGAACATCTTCCAAAAAACTTACCATCTCAAAGCAGGGGCAAAAACATCTGGAACCACTTATCAGCCACTCACTAATCTCCAAGCAGATCTTTTGGTGGGGGTAAGACAGTATCAAATTGGCCAGTCTGTATCCATTTCCCCACCCAAGGTGGGTGGGGAAATGGATACAGACTGGCCAATTTGATACTGTCTTACCCCCACCAAAAGATCTGCTTGGAGATTACCACTCACCACATCTGCTTAAAGTTCCACCCCCCCAGTGCTATTCCAAACAACGCGTTTTTCTGGACCATTCCAATTTGCCTCAAAATTGTAGGGGTGCATCTGCAATATTACATTGACCGCGAAAGCAGCAACGGCAAAAATACACATTCGTGCATCAACACGGGCATGCCCGCAGACGGCGTATAAAATTGCGTGTCGATTACACAAAGAGAACCCAGTGTTTTGACTGCAAAGACGAAAAACCAGCCGTTCACAACACTCCGTCCGGAGGTCCTGACCTCCTTCACGGAGTAACAAACAAATCGGAAGATACAGAAAATGAAAAATTCGCGGATCTCATACCTCCATGAAATATTTAGAGCTTTATTTAGTAAATGTTAGTTTTTTTGGCGACGCCTCAGGGGCGAGTCTGAGTACCTTACCTGATTATTGCAGATGGTCACCAGCGCCAGGAGAGCGTACAGCGCACAGGGGATCAGCACCAGTCTGTCCCGCAGCAGGCTGCACGTGGACTCCTCTTGTCCTACGGGTAAAACTTCAACAGTTTCACCTATTTTCACACACTAGCACTAGCTCGTCGTGCGATTTTAGCGCGGTCACGACTGTATCGAATGACAAAAAGTTTAATATCATCCGGACATGTAGGCTAAATAGTAGCCAAAGGAGTTTTACATTATAATTTACTCACGTGGACGTTTGTCTTTGTCTTCTGGTGCGTCTCGGGAAGACACTTCGGTTAGGTCGATGTACTCATCTTTGGGGCTTTTTTCCAGAGATTCACCCAGCAAAAAGCAGCCTCCTATATTGTGAAAAGGTTTGTACAAGTCAAAATTACACACTCTGAACATGTAACCCTAGCAAGCACACTGCATGTGCATGTGTGCCTATGTCTTGAGACAATCGGTATACTAAGTTGAAATAGACTCATTCCTGCAACGTTATAGAAGTAGTCATAAACGCTTACATTGCGTAACAGGGAAGGGACTGATATCTCTACCAATCACGTACAACTTAGACGTGTACGTCACACCTAAACTGACCTATCAGAATGCAGAACTGTGCACATGCCGCTACGGCGCAGGGCAGCAGGTACGGGAACTGCTTGAAGACAGGTTTGTCGAACGTCTGGAATCTTGTAGCCGGGCAGGCCAAAAATCCACCCAGTGAAGGGCCCTAGGCGCGTACGTAACAGTATTGATTAGAAGGCTGGACAACAAAAATTCTACCAGCTGGAAGGCTGAAAGTCAGTATATGGAAAAAACACAACTGGTCTTTACAACGAAATTTTCTTTAATAATAGCGTCTCGTTGATACTTTGAGTGATGTGCTTACCACAAATTGGGCCACCGAGCTAGGAAGACCGACAACAGAAAAGGCAAATGAATGGAACTTGGGAGGACAAATCTGCAAAAACAAACACACATAGGACGACCCAGGATCAGTTATTAGAGATAATTTTTCGCAATACGTGATACAGGAGAGTCTATAAGTTCATAATTGCTGCATGTTCTAAAAGCTGACATGAGCTCCCTTTTTTCGTGGTCTTATTGAACAACGCTCAAAACGTCGGTAATTAAACCACGATGCTTTGATACGTCGATGAAGGTTAGACATCCAGGTAATACGATACGCCAAAAATCAGTTACTCAAGCAACTGGATATGATTTTGAAAACTGGATATGATTTTGAAAGCATCACGATGCTTTGAGTTTTGGTCGATTTTTATTCCTTGGCAGGTATAGCCAAATCCAGAAACTTAACAAACGCTATCCGTTCAAGGACGTAAACTAACTTCACCTCGTACAGGTACGTCTTGGCCACGCCCAGCTTGCCGTTCAGTAGCCCTTCAAAAAACATCACGCCCACGGTCCACAGGAAGGAGAAACTTCATTGGAGGAAACATGTCGAGCGGTCAGGATATGTTAAAAGGTGTTGTTACGATACATATTGAAATGTTTTAACTTGATCCAACCAACACCTGAATTAGGCCGAAGAACAACGCTGATGATACGGGTCCCTATTTTGTCTGTATAATGTCCTTGGTATAAGGATGAACGAGTGACATACACGTTCTGAACATCTCACCTGAAGCCCACTAGCATCGTGCCTACCAATATCGCCGTGGCCGAACTCAGCAGGATGGGTCTGGGCAGCAAGAAACACAGTCATACATCAAACACGACAGTATACCATATATATAACATATTGTTTGTTTGTTTGTTTTGCATAACCGGTAAACCGCCTTTATGCGTAACATACCGTTCGTGTACATGTAAGTACAAGCTGCGTAAGACCGGACTGTAAGGTTTGAACCACTCACACCGGGAATTCGAAGGACCCCTACTCTTTTCGATAAGTGTGGTGGGTTCTTTAACGTGCGTGGCGTGTGACCCTCCCCAAACACAGGACCTCCATCCGAGGGACGTCCCTAACCGAAAGTCGTGTAAGGTGCCTTTCCCATGGGCACTAGATCGGTCATGACATGGTAGGATTCGAACCCGTGATCTCTTACACGACCCCACAATATATATCATATAATGAATCATCAAACATGTTTCGTGCGCGTTAGATGCTGAAACACACATGGCATGGTGATCTAGCAAATCATATTTTGTTTATAAAGGATAATGACCCTACCTTCTGCCAACAATGTCCGATAGTTTCCCCCACTGAAAAAGAAATACACGTTTTCTTTTATTACATTTATTCATATCTATGACAACAATTATTTGTAGAAAACATGGTAACAAATACCTACCATAAAACATCCGAGAAACACACCAGTAGAGCCCGCACTGGTCAGGAACCCGGCATAGTACCCTAGCCAAGAGGGATATACATGGATATATGATAGATGTGTTTAGAAATAGCTTCATCTACTTATTTCATGTGTCTTTTTTTAATGAATCACTGTGTTTTCCTAATGAAACATACACTCAAAAGAAGCTTTAAATCATAGCCTAAGTTGTCAAGTCTATTTTTTTTATCCCAACACGTAATCACAAGACGTGGTGACGGCACACTCAAGTTTTTGGCGACGCCTCATGGGCGAGCCTAATGGTACAGTATTGTGTGCAGTCATCAAGAATTCTAGGAATTGTACAGGCATTTTATCCACAGGCATGGAATGTCCACAGGAATGTCTCCCAGCTTGCTCCCAACACACTTTTATGCCCACAGTCAGACAAGGGCGCAAGATCGGTGGCATGGCAGGGTTCGAACCCGGGACCTCTTGGTTCCGAGTCGACCACTACCGTAACGCCACACGACCTCCGTGATCAAGTCTCTTTGCTTGAAAGTCGGTCTGACAGTGAATGATGTCACATTTCCGGAAACTCATGTGTCAGAAATTTGTTCGGTACAGTTGAAAAACGCAAATGATTCATATTTAAAGCTCTATGTCTACGGCGAATTGTTATTTCTGTAGAATCGAAGCTAAGTACGATGTACCTATCTGGTTACTCTTCAAGTAAGGAAAGAAGTCGTGGGTGAGGAACGGGAGAAATGGGTGTATGGTGCTTCCACCGATGGACCCTATCGACAGGAGCACCCCTAAAATTGCGACCTGAAACAAAAGACATTGTGATGTAAATAGAATAATATAGGAAGCGAAGTCCACTTTATTGTAGAGTGTCCACTGTACAACGATTTACGGAACACCCTTGTTTATGAAGTACAGTTAAAACAAAAACTTAGTATGTACATCTAAGAAAGGATCACATGCTAATGTCTTTAGTTAACCATGATGTATTAGAAAAACTCTGTAAATTCGTATACAAATGTCTTAATAACCCTTGTCCTGCTGGCAATTTTTACACAATATTTTAAAATAATTTCATGTCTTAATCAGGTCACAGACCCTTGACTTTTTTTGCCCTGCGGCAGCGTAGTTACTTTCGCATTCGTTGCGTTTTGCTGCGGTGTGATGCGTTTCACGAGAAACACCCCCAAATCGCACCTATACAGGGCACTATGTAGATGGTACTGTATGTACAACCCATATTTGTTAATGTTAATTTATACGATACTACGATACAAATTAGTCTAATGATGCCACAGTCTAATGCATACCATGGCCAGTTACAGTCAATGACAATGACAATGTAGTTTATTGCATATTTATGCCCCATTGCATATTTATGGCCCATTACAAATAAGGATTAGGAAAACTATGCTATCTTTATCTATATCAAAAAAACGTGCATGTTTCTTCTCTCTTC